TAGTCGGTAACTCTGTAATTTACTCCATTACTATACTGTTTATTCCTCCACATACAACGTGTTTGCCTTGTGTTTTTATTGGGCATGGACTTTGTGTGCTTGTCTCTTGCTCCGACCACGCCCCAATGATGGCCTAATTGTCAGTCCTTTCTCTGAACCACTTGAGGCGTCAACAGAAACGGAAAATACGGGAAATGCAGCGATAAGGATTGTGGGTGTGTGTGTATGGGGAAGGGGGGGGGGGGTTGTAAATGGTATTTTAAGAAGTGTTGGGGTGTTGGGTAAAAGGTGGGAAAAGACCCATGTATTTTGGACTACCTTGTATTCTGAGCTTAGCACTTTCTTGAACTAATTCCAATATTCCATTTTGGATACCAATCACGTCGAAAGCGGGAATTCGTATAAAATGGAACTAAAATTCTAGACAACACGTATGCTAACCTTAATACTGTTTAGCTTTAAGTTAAAGCGATGACTTTCTTTTTTACCGCTAGGACCGCTCGGAAAAGTCGACAATTGGAATCGGCACAAAAAAGCAGTCAGTTCGCGATGTTAGTAGGCACTGCTCCGTCACCACTGACAAAGGTGTTTGTGCTGGATTCGTCTTCATTTTATGTCGTTAACGGCGCTTCGCTAACACTACCAATCTAAAAAAATGTTTACAGTCAGCATCTAGAATTTCTAGATAACTAACATATCGCATTTTCATCAAAACGTTCATTCACCTTTGTTTATAAAGAAAAGGTGAGTTTGTGTTTTTAAAGACTACGTATTCCTTTCTAGTGTGTTAGCTCCACTTTACTCCAGAACGCTGAAGGACATAAATCGTTGCATCTTGTTAGGAGTACACCGTCGTTATTCGCTTATTCCGACTATAACGATAAACCAAAACATGTGGAACTAAACTGAACAAACTGCAATGGTATGTAAATGAGGAGTAAAACACAGCCACAGTGATTTTGTTGAAAAAGATAGTTTTTTGGGTATATGTATTTGATCTAGACACACGTTTTAAAATTTTAATCTAGCCCCAAATGTTGAGGGAAAATATGATTAAGTGAAAGACAACTTGAGGCAAACTGCTTTTGCAAAGTATGGGTGACATCAATTCACTCCATATTAGAAGAAAGGTTGCCCCACGCATTTTTAACGCACTGTAAAAGGTGATGATGATGATGATGATGATGATGATGATGATGATGATGATGATGATGATGATGATGATGATGATGATCATGATGATGATCATGATGATGATGGTGTATCAATAATTATATCATACTGCTCTGTGCTCCGAAGCACACCTAATAACGTGACTTTGTTCATCTTTTCTGTTTTCACCAGGCCGCGGCCCAGGCCTCCACTTCGGCTGTGACGGCGTCAACGGCAGCTGCGACATCGATGATCACCACAGCGGCGGCAAGTACATCTACCGCCAGTGCCGCAAGCTCTCCTTCTCTCCCCCTTCCGGACTCTCCCGGTCAGCCAGAGACCACCACAACCACGGCCGCCCCAGCCCCTCCAGTCGCCTCTACCGCCGCCCCTACCACTGAGCCCCCAACCACGCCTTCTCCGACAACCGCAACCAGTGTTGTTGCTCCAACTACTCAGAACATCCCACCCGTCTCAGGACAGACTAGTGGAAGCGGGAGTGGACTTCCATCATCACAGCCAACTTCAGGCGCTGGGCAATCGACTCCGGGCGGAGGGGGAGTGTACAACCCACAGACAAACTATCAGACGAACCCGTTTGGTGCGTACAATCAGCAGTACTACAACTACAACAACGGTTACTATGCCAACCCCAACACAAACTTCATCAACGGGTACGGAGGTGGGCAATATCCCAACTACAACTACAACAGCAACACCAATCCTTACTACAACAACTACAACAACTACAACAACTACTACAACTACCAAAACTACCAGCGCCAGCAACAACTCATGTACAATATGATGTTCTTTGGAGCAATGGATTTCTTGTGAGGACCAAGAAAAAAACAAACCCCAAACAAACTTCAGTTTACTGATTAAGTCCTACGAACAGCGTTTGCATACTAACTTTAAAATTTTACAAATAAATTTACATTCTCTCATTTCTTAAGGAGTTCACTGATCCAAAGCATTGTTTGTATCGACACAATTGCGTGTGACTTTCCCCCCAAAAGATGACCGATACACCCACTGAATGATTCCGGAAACAAAGGGTACACACTGTTTCCTTGAGAAGATATTCACAATTGCTTTACGTGTAATAAAAATTCATTTGGTAAAAAAACATGATCTTTTGCTGAACTGAATAAATATAAAACCGATTCATGAAATAGTTTATATAAAAATCTAAAGTGAATCGAAAATGTCGTCTTCGTTAAAATTGGATTTCCTATGATATGTATATGTACAAGTTATATATCAGGATTAAAAACCCATAACCTTTTTGTATTTGGTCATTTTCATCTTTTGAATATCTTTTAAAATTTGCTTGTTTATCATTTATACGTTTTTATTAACAATGCGTTGTTTCCCTTTTCTCTTTTTCTATGTTTCTTGTTCTCACCAGGACGATTTCCGTCCCAAATTTCTTATATTTTCTTACTCTTTTCAAGAAAACTGTTCTTTAACTTCCGACAAGGCTTACCAGTCGTCTCCGATATGTATATCTCAAGTAGAATAATTTTGCTCAAGTCAAAAATCGGAAAATTGTTATTCATTGTTGTCGTCGTTAATGACCATATTTGTCCAGAAACATTGCTTGGATGACCGTAGCACTGAAAGGAGCATAAAGAGGAATAATGACAGAGCAAACACAGATTAATCATCTTCGTGGTGTTTGCAATTATTTTCAAACGGACTCAGGACATACCAGTTTGACCACTCGCGAGCTTAGTGTTGTATTTTGCGAGCTTAATGCTCTGTTGCGCCAGTCCATTTTTCCGTTTTTGATGTAAATTTCGCTTTAATTTAGTAGAAAAAACGAGGGTTCCTACCATATGACATTGAAATTCTACGAAACACAGACATTCACAAGTACGAATTTGGGCCCTGAGGGAATAATAATATTTCAACAGTCTTGATAGTTGTGACTAAATCTCTCAAAAGTCATAAAGTGGAGCTTCTAGCCTACAAGATAGCTCTATTTCTCGCACTGATGTACAGCATAAGAGAAGAAACAAGATTTACGCTTAGGTTCAAGTCCTATCCTGCATACACATGACTTGTGACAGCCTGTCTTGATGTAAGCTTTTTTCTGATCTATTGACATCGGTTGACAAATTAAAAGTCACTGTGGTCTTAGGTAAGAGACTAGAAACTCCGCGATTTGCTACAGCGTGTTTATTTTATACACCGTTTAAAGTCAAATAGGAACTAACAACTATTGTAAAATAACAAGCAAGCATGAATTCGAATGATTTTTATATAGGGCCTACCTTTACAGAGCCACAGAGAAGCTATATTTCTAAGACGAATACATGTATTTCCAAACCCTCTTCCAAATGTTTAATAGTAACATACTCAAAACTCGGAGATACATGTGAAAACTGAGGTACATCTTTTTAAAAACTGTTTGAGGATGTAGCAGACACATTGTCTGTTTAGCAGCAAACCAATATACAATGTTTCGATGCATGTCGAAACATCATACGCAGAAGGGAAACACAAATTTATATATTTCAAAGTATGCATATTGTTGCATGCCTTTTAAAGTTTCAAATAAACAAAAACAAAATAGGAAAATCTATTTGAATAATCAAGTTATATCCCCAAAACAGCGTATCTTCAAGCGCTGTCGAAAAACTAGAATGTGCATCCTCAGTGAGTTAATGAATAAGGGCACGATAAGAACTCTGTACATCTGTCAATGCCCCAATCCGAAGCGATGAGATCTCCAAACCTGTAGGGAGGATTAAGTCCTGACCGACCACGTGATCCTTCACTTGCCGCTTTTCAGTTGTTGCTTTTAGTCAATAGAGTGTTGGCTGTTCCGAGACGTCGAAGGGGGTTCATAGCTCTTGAGCCAGTTGGCATAAAGCGGCTTTAGAACCAGAGCGATGGCTTTTGAGTCGGCATGAGGAGAGCAGGTGTTTTCTTAGCCCCTGTTCCTGGCGATTGCCACATTCCGCCTGATCCTGGGAGTAACTGGATAGCGTAGGACCTGGAGAGATCATTGCTGTAGGGGGTGGCAAACGGAAGACTCCCTTGAAGACCGTACATGTTGTAGACGGATGACGTGGCGTCATACGGGGGAAAGAAAGGCTGGTAATACAACCAGGGGTTTCTGACAGGGCTGCCCATTGGTGCCGTGGGGAACCAAGGACTTTGGGTGACTCTGGGTCTTGTCGTGGTTGTGGTGGAGGTCTCTGGCCCTTGAGACCCGCCTGAGACTGTGGGCAGCGGATACGTTGGGGTCACTGACACTGGAGCTGTTGCCTGAGGACAGGTGTAGCGTCCATCGTCATCATCATCCTATTATCTTCATTTGAATATGACCACAAACCTACTTACATACGAACATGCTATAACGGTAACCTGTATAAGACCTGTACAAACGGCCACATATCTTTCTCCCTTAAGGCTATTAAGAATAATAATTATAAGGGCACTGCGTAAGACGGCCACGTGTCTTATACGGCATTTATTTATTCTCGCCAGTCGGTGACCTTCTTAGGCCTTTTCGATTTTAAGTCTTTATATGTCTCCCCAGAATCGGGGAGCATCTTTTAATAACATATTTTAGGTTTTACTATAACTATACATATTTAAAAAGTTCTAATACATACTGAACAGTAACAGGGGCCATAAAAACATATAATTTTACAGCCCCCTGAATTGTATGAACATTATTAATAGCTTTATTTTAAAAAATGTATTTATGTATATACATTTTAAAAAATTGCTGAATATGAGTTCATGATTATAATGTGGTGCTTATGTTTCAAACTGCTGATCTATTCTCATATGTTGCAGCAAAAGTAAGTGTGTGTGTGCGCGCGCGCGCGCGCGCGTGTGTGTGTGTGTGTGTGTGTGTGTGTGTGTGTGTGTGAGTGTGTATGTGTGTGTGTGTGTGTGTGTGTGTGTGTGTTTGCATGACCAAGAAAGAGGAGAAACAGGAGAGGAGGAGGGGTGGGGGTATCTGTCTGTACGTGTTGGGAGGAAAGAACAATTTCACTGCCAAAGAAGATCTACCCACATGAGTAGAAGCTCCCCGTCTGCTAGCTGTTGATACTGTTGCTGCTGCTGCTGCTGTTGTTGCTGTTGCAGCAGTTACCGTTGTGGAAGCATCTGTGGTACAAATCAATCATGTGTTTTTAGAGATAAAAGTCTTTTTATACCTGGATACCTGGAGGTGACGTATCTGGATTGGAGGTTGACGTGCATTGACCCACCATTGCTTATGGCTGCTAATAATTATATCATAAATACACTCTGTCATACTTAGGCTAGTCCATGCCTTGATGCTATCGGTCCACCTTGGTTTTTTTTTCACCCTTAGCCGTTTTGACCTACACCTTGCCTTCAAGTATTTCCTTCACAATCTACGAATGGTGATTGTCTGTCTCCGACATTTTAGACGTTTTAACTGGCTGTATGAGCTGCTAATAAGTTCACGAGATTACAATATCCCAGTTAATCAGTTTCGTTGGACTTCAATGATAAAACCCGTTACTGTAAGTTTAATATTTCCAGCCAGCCTATATTGCGTCCTCGTCCAGGGTACATGTTCACGTGAATGCAGGTACAAACAAACGAACACACAAACACGCACACACGCAAACGTAGGCACATTATAGCTGAAACTTCGTGGGGATGAGACCTTACCCTGTCCCTCTACCTTGACACACACCAACGCACACACATACACTCTCTTTCTTTCTCTCTCTCTCTCTCTCTCTCTCTCTCTCTCTCGCACACACACACACACACACACACACACACACACACACACACACACACACACACACACACACACATACATACATACATACATACATACATACACCCACTCTCAAATGATATTTCAATTTTAGAACTATTTTGTGGACATTTAAATGTTGGCTGCCAGATTCATGGTCACATAGCTTGCTAGTTAAGCTGGTAATACACCTTTGACTCAAAATTCATGCTAACAGAAAAGGGGAAGACCGAGACAGACATGGCTGGATTGGGTTTAAAAGGTCCTGGAACAACAACATAATATCTATCAGTCTATCACAGACGCTGCACACCTAGCACAGGCCGGAAACCTTCACCTGCCCTCGACATCCTATGGATACCAGAGAAAGGAAAAAGTAAAAATAAGTAGGGAAGGAGGAGGGAGGAGGGGGATTATCTCGGGGAAGACTTTCACAGAGACTTCTTGTTATCACATTGTTAATTGGAATGAGCCCTGTCTCCCTTCATAAATTCATTACGTATAAGTAGGCATATGTTTTTTTGAAATGAAGAAAAATAGGAACCTAGGAATATACCAGAGTGATTCGTTAAGTGTCTCAAGAGGACTCAGCTAGGTGGTATTGAATAAGGAAATTTGACTTAGACGGGAAGGACATTAATTGTAAAGTCTTGATAAGCGAAAGGAACTGCGACAGTTTCATTGCACTACTCACAGAAGCCAAATAAAACTTAACTGCGACAGTTTCACTTCACTTTTCTTTAAAGCTTCACAAAATTTCTATCTGCGACGGATTTTTAACACTTCTCGTTCAAACCTAACAAAACTTCTCAACAGTTGTTATAATCCACATAGTAATATGCACTGAAATGCTTTAGCAGAGGGAGATACACGAGCACATTCACCCTCTTTCATATAAGGAAAAATATTCTATTCCAGAAAGGGTGCAGAATGGGAAAGGTGAAGAACAACACTGAAAGCAGTCATTTAATCTTTAACTTAAAAGAAAACACGAATAAATTTCCCACCTTACGGGGCGGGTAATTACGCAACGCTTTCCACTCAAATAAATAGTTGAAAGGATCAAGAAAGAATATCAGAGTAATCAAGCGCCCTTATTAAACAAATTAAAGCTGAATTGAGCTTGTAAATCTTTCAGTGAAATCAGAAATGAGTTCTGCATCTTCTTCTGCAAATCCAATCAGATAAAGATAGTTTGATGTTGATAGTATTGTTCAAAGAAAATGCTCAAGGGATGTCATCCCAACTCATAATCATTTAGCAAATCCTGCCAAGTGTACCCTCCGCTTTTTCCACACATATGCACTTGTTAAAACTACGAATAAAAGTAGAGTGTATATATCCAAATAACTGTACCTGCAGAAATCAGCCGCCTCCCCCCCCCCTTTTTTTCAAATTCACCGCTAATAACTAACACATAAACAACAAACAAAACAAAAACAAAACGAAGCAAATAAAACTATTTAAAAAACCAGCACAACAAGAAACAAAACAAAAACAAAAACCTACAAAGAAACAAATAAATAAAAATTTAAAAAAAGAAAGGAAGAAGGTGTTGATAGAACATATTCAATTTTCTAAATCATATAAGTCTTTACCTTGGGCTGATGAATGAGCTGTTATCGAGATCAGAACGAAAAGACAAAATGATGTGTAGCCCATCCTGGAAAGCTGTTCTGAAAGTAAAAACCAAGGTAATTATATCCCTGTGTGTATGCACTAGCAACTTGTTTATAACAAACAAATGGAAGTAATTAAAATTTTTCATGAGGAAAGCTTTGTCAAGTATTCTTTTACCTCAAAAGCTTTTGGATATACATTTTCCAGGACTCTTTTCAGCTTGTACATACTTTTTCTGTGACAAAATTTAATGACCATTCATTTTCTTTTTCGATTTCTTTAATCTAGTTAAGATGTTCCAGACTCACAAGTCTAATTGAAGACCCACTTTTATAATTTAAGATGGAATTGGTACTGTTTGAATGGCAAGCGAAAGACAAAGGTTTAGAAACCGTATGCGTCAATTGTACAACATTATTCTTGCAAACAATGAGCACCTATCTCTTAATAAGAAAAAAAAAGAAAGACCGATTTCATGTAATTTTGCATGTCATTGAGACCCCAGACAGCGTTTTGTAACAAAACACATCGTGTCAAAATCCGGACAGAACAGTTCAGTTCTTTCTCCTATTTCTCCTTATATTTGCCTAGTCGATATCCCTTGTTTCTATATAATTATTTCTACATTCATCACACGTAGAATTGGATCCTGACAGAACATCACACAATATTTTTGACATACACACTATTTTTGTTAATTTTTGTCTAATACTTTCGATACTGGGTTTAGAATGTTTGCATTTGCGCTATTGAAGAAAGTCACGGGTTCACAAACACACACTCGTCGTGTGGCAATTCAACATTAGATCCAGTTGAGAAAACAATTGTTTGTGTCCATGTCCAGTAGTAACTGTTGCTTACACAATGCCCTGCCAAGAGTTTTGGCGTGGTCCGTATATACTGTAAGTAGAAATAAAAATAAAATTTTCAAATATTTCTGTTTATATAAGCAAGGTTGTAGAGGCCAATTTGTTACACAGAATGATTAGTTACATCGGTCCGGACCTGTCACCATGCCCGGACAAATAATGTGTAAGGTCAAGTTTGTAAAATTAATTTTAAAAGCCGCGAGGCTTCTACACCGGGCGCGTAGTCGAAAACGGATGCCAGTGGCTGTTAACAGTAACTTCATTTCTTTTTCCAGGTAATGGAGATACCGTTTTGCTGTATTCTTAGCGAAGATGAGTGGGTTTTAAGGGGGTATTATTTAAACAACATCCCAACAGAAACAAAGAAACGACTCATCACATCAATATCCAAACCTACACTGTCAAACCTTGACCTCCAATAAAAGACAACAAACAAAGATCTCTGCACGTGGAATGTTATGTCTCAGAAAGACACTTATTCTTCACAGGAAGACCCAATAGTGTTGAAAGGGGCATTAAACCCGTGCATTTACATATGTATTGTCAGAAGAATAGACAAACAAAGAAATGACAACGCCAGATAATACGTGAACATAGAATCAAGCACACACTGAAAGACAACACATCAAATGGTTCGGACGCTCTGTAAGAATGGGACCGCAACAGACAGCCTCAAAGACCTACAACAAGATATTTAATGGATTAAAAGCGCCAACACGACCCAAAAAAATAGAGTCAAAGAAAGCCTCCAACAGGAACAATATGACGATCCAAAAGGCCACACACCTGGCCAATGTCCGACAATTACCCTCGACACCTTACGGTACGAGAGGACAGAAAAACTAAACTCAAAACTAAGCTGCTCCATCAACCATTACCGTTGTGGACATACTTTTAGGCAGAGGAAGGGGGAAATCCGAACATAATGGACTTTTATTTATTAAGCTTAGGGGGCCACAAGAATGCATTTGCGTTCGTTTTTTTAACTTGCTATGCATGTGTATATCATGTTAAAGGCGAGAACTACAAAAAAGATATCTGGAGTTCTCCATTTTGAAAGTAGCTGTCAAGAGGAGAATTGTGTCTCACTCTGATCTCCTACCTGTACTCAAGGATCTTCTCCCCTCCCCCCCCCCCCTGCCATACAGAAGAGAGAGAGAGAGAGAGAGAGAGAGAGAGAGAGAGAGAGAAGGAGAGAGAAAGAGAGAAAGAGAGAGAGGGAGGAACACATAGAGACAGAGAGAGAGGCGATAGAGAGAGGGGGAAAGATGAGCGAGAGAGAGAGAGAGAGAGAGAGAGAGAGAGAGAGAGAGAGAGAGAGAGAGAGAGAGAGAGAGAGAGAGAGAGACAGTAAGATAGACACTCAGACAGATAGAAAGACTGACACGCAGACAAACAGATATACAGAGACCGAAATATGATAATGGGGTTTGGGGAAGGGGGGGGGGGGTCAAACTCAAACTTAATTTTTATGTGAAAAATACCGAGTAACTAAACCCGTCAAGACCAAGTTTTGTGTAATTTCACAAATGAAAGCTGTTCCTACATTTTAAATCCGTGTAAATGGTTTAGTGGTTAGGCTTCGCCGTCGCTTGCAGAAGGCATGAGTTCTATTTTCGCGTACGAGGGTTTTTTTTTTATCTCGAGTATCTCCGTCGGTCAGTTGGGTCGTTGTTTCTCTCTCATACCATGTTGACCCACCTCCTAAATGATCTAAATAGTGTCGATAGAACCGCAAATCACCAGTAACACATTTTACATATTAGAGCACCCGTTACGGGTGGTTGTAAGCTAGCTCTCCTTTATCTGGCTAGTTATTATTAGTTGCGTTGAAACTAATCAGGGAATTGAATTGAGAACTGAACAAAGGATCATGATATTTAAAAAATATATATTATTGTCGTTCAGCGGGGCGTTCCGTCTTGTAGTTTTTTTTATGAGGTTACATTTCTTACCTGATCCTTCTTTCATCGATATGAATTTCATAGAAGTGACACTTTGATTATAGATAGATAGATAGATAGATAGATAGATAGATAGATAGATAGATAGATAGATAAATAGATAGATAGATAGATAGATAGATAGATAGATAGATAGATAGAAAGGTAGATAGACAGACAGATATATTTTGATTTAGTTTTTTACGAATAGATATACAGATTTTTTTGGAGAGTTTTCAACTTTTTGTGCGTGCATGTGCATGTGTGAGTGTGCGTGTGGGTGGGGAGTGGGGAGGGAAGGGGGGAGATAAACTGAGAAGACCCAGTTACTGTTTCGAAAAATTCGAGATCAGAACTGACTCACGCGGAGGCGTACAGGCTGGACACTCTCGTTGAACAAAGCTTACTTATTTCCTGCTGTTATGGAACGTTAATGAAACTGGCGTACTTCAATCGACCCATTTTTACTAATATTCATTAGGATGTCCTCCTGTACGAATTTTAATGTATAGAGCCACCTGTGCAGGTCAAATGTATTAGGTACAGGTGGAAGGATTTTGCCATCCTGAGGCCCACAAGGCGATTAGATATCAATATCATGTTGTGATGTCAAGTGTTGAAAACTGATGTGGGAATGACAGGTGTGGGGCAGCGATTTTCTCGGGATAGGGGCAGAAGAGGGACTAGCCTGAGTAACAGATGTGCAGATGCGCATTGACGTGAAACACGGGTGAATGTGCCGCTGTGTTACTGACCACAGAGGCTCAAAGTTTATATTTTATATGAGAAGAAACGTTGACTGCTTTCATTCGATCGGTATTCATTAATCATCCCGCCCTCCAGTCCACCAAAACGTTGTCACTTTCGCTTCTTCTCTCTTTCTCGTTTTCTGTTCGCTCTTCTTTCCGTTATTGCTCCTGGGGTATTTCGCTACCTCAGAATTAAAATAGTTCTATCTGCTCAGTGCCTAGTTTTAAGAAATTTTACGACAAAGATTTTGAGTCTCAAACTATGTCAAGCTTTTTCGAAAGCGATTCCTTGAACATTTTAATACCGATTCTTAATAATCTTACGATTTTGATGGAGCAGACAGAATATTTGGTTGGTCATCTCATGGTCTTAGTAACTCAAAATGACTCAAAATGTCAGATGAAACTTTGTAGTTCTAAGATAACGACTTGTATATTAAATACTGTATCATTGCACTGCAGGCCGTGGTCCTTTCTTTCTTTGGGTTTTCTTTTCAAAAGATAGGCGGGGTTTTTTTTGCTGCACCATGTCGATCTTTTCAAGGTAATAGAAGACTTCAATGCTTTATAAAAGTTAAGAGACACACTAGAGATTTTGTTTGCTTGTTTGTTTGGTTGCTTTTTTCGGTTATGTTTTCTTTATTTGTCAAAATGATAATTTTGGCCCAACAAGGAACGCGATGGCGACTGGTATAAAGTGGGGGCTCGTGGTTTAAATAACTGACCGCCAACATTCACATAGACTCTTTCTTCCTCCCCCTACTCCCTTCCTTCACAACACACACACACACACACACACACACACACTCACACACACACACACACAAAATACACACACACAAAAACACATTCTCTCTCTCTCTCTCTCTCTCTCTCTCTCTCTCTCTCTCTCTCTCTCTCTCTCTCTCTCTCCTAATTTTATGCCTCTACTTTCGCTATCCCCACCCCCTCCCCCACTCACACACACACACCATTGTAAACATTTTAATATAATGTGGAAGAGCAGAAATATGGTAGTGTCAAGAAACAATGTTATGATTAATGTATGATGGAAGTTACTGAGTTAATAGAAACTGACTTGAACAGTATAAAAAAAGAAACACTACTAGAGTCTATGCTAGAAAACAAACTGAAAGTGAGAAGCGCAATAAACTGCTGGTCATGGCCTCTGGCACTTGAACCAAAGACTTTTACCTTTTACACACCCACACACAATATCGACGTGCACTGACCTGTAAATATGTAATAAGAACATAACTGTATGATGACAAAAGGTCAATTGATACTGTACCAATGATGCTGTCCCTTGTATCTACAATCAGATACAATACAAAGCTGGACAAAGTTAGCACACAACAGTTTTCCATCATTATGTAATCAAACGTTCTTCATCACACTTCTCAGTTCTCAGAACACTGTTGTAACAATGTGGGGACGTGTGTCAAATGCTAATTATAGAAGTTGGTGTCTAGTTGTGGTGACGGTGGATAGGGGGAGGGAAGGGAGGGGGTAGGCCCATTGTTTTCGGACCAGAGTCTGACAGCTGAGAGCCTATCGCTCCTCGTTATAGTTCTCCTTATATATCTTCTCTAGACAATTCCTCTTTTCGCCGGCTAGACTTTTATGGGCCAGGTACGTTATTAATGGGGAGAAAGCGATGAATAGTCACCAAACAGGAAATATAGGTGGCTAAAAATTCAATAAACAAAAAAGATTAGTGCCATGCTGACAATAAATGTTCTGATGATAGTTAGAGAAAGGCTGAAAGATAAGTACATGTATTGCTGATAAAATATTTCACGTATCTGTGCTGCTGAAGACTCAAGACAGTCTCATTACTCATTTTGTAAGCAACACGAAGGCCAATTTGGCTATCAAGGGGTGCTATATTCGCTCTTAGGGCTGTCGATGGATTTGCCCAGCGGACTGACGTCATCGCTGTACCCGCTATGTTCGTTTGTCCTCGTACGAAGTTCCGGGACGTGACGGCTTGACGAGAGACGATTTAAAGTTACGAGCCGGTGCGATAAACAAAGGTGAAGGAATGAGGCTCTGTCGCGACAAAACATCAGCGAATCTCACTTGTCTATTTGAGCGCCTTCAAATCGGCACGGAGCTTTAAGAATGTTGATACATGTTTGTTTGGATTTACTTAAAACTGAATGAAAATCATCATCAGCAATAAATCTCTTGTCAACAGATAGGCCGACAAAACTTTGACCGGCACCGCCGGTTTGCCCAGTTAACAAACTGCCCCTGCTGGTATATCTTTAAGTAAGTAAATCGTATGGTATGGGGTGGATTCCATCTTACACCATATCATGTGTATTTCCTATTTATAATATTTTCAACTAGCACGACTTAAAAAGTAACCCTCCCTTGCAGGATAAAAACGAAAAAAGAAATCACATCAGACAACAAGAATTAAATAATGTTCCGATGGGGTTTCAACATGGGCATCCGTGCCATCATTCAACATTATACCATCCAAACTAAAGACACCAAGAAACTGAACTCCTAAATATTTCTCACTTCACTCTGGCTTTTCATAGTCTTCTAGGAAAATAGAAAAAAACACCCACCGTCTGTATTGAAATGTTTTGGGTGTTGAATAAGTGCAGAGAGACCTTCATTGTGTGGCATCCTATAGGTGTGTCTTTTCATAAAAACAGAATCGCGTATTAGTGGCAGGCGTCTGTGGTTCAACGGGTGGGCTCTTGCTGTTGTTTTCCTGTGTGAGGAAACCAGCTGCCCTGTCGAGTAACTGTCTTTGAGCTGAGAGTTTGTGTGCCACTCACCCTGTGTTAGCCCTGGCCGCAAGGTCGAAGCAGCCAGTCTCCTACATTGATCTAAATTGTATTGATCATTTGCAAGTCCAACATACTCAAAAGAAATGAATGACAGTATGAGATGTATTTCCATTTTGTTTATTGCGTATAAAAATAAAAAGGTTGATATAGATGGGAGTGAAATGTCTAGTAGCAAAAGAATTGAAAATGTTAAAGACATTTTTTTTCTCTCATACATTCTACCTGCAATAGGTAAATTCGTCGAATTTGCAAGCCTTTTCCATATAATAAATGTGGTAGAAATATAAATAAGATGCACTCATTACTTGAATCATATTATATCTCTGTTGTATAGGCAGTAATTCTGATTTATAATGAACGTCTAAGTAGTGAAAAAAGGGAAATACGTTGTGTGTCAACATTAATAGAGGAAGACATGAAGAATTTCAATGACGAGTATCGTCCCCATTTGATGAAAATCTACACTTTGCTCCCTCAACATTTATGGTATAATTTATGGTAGAATGTTCAATTTGCATTTAATCGTTTCCTCTCTATTTATGCATTTCTTCTAACTAGGTTGTGTAACTATGTTTCTCCCAAGTAACACGAAATGGGCGCTCCAGGCAAAACTAAATACCACTTTTGATTTTGATTCACCTTCCTAGGGTGTCTTCTGAAGGGATTATGTATAATAAATAATTTGAAAGTTTGATTTAAAGCATCGCATTTATGGCTGCTTGAGCTGTACTTCATACTCTGGTAAATTAGAAGACTGCATAGTACAGACAGGATGGATTATTAAATAGAATATTCCCATTCTTGACCTGACAATAGTGACTTAAACAGCGTCGACTCGACGTCTTAAGTCAACGTCATAAGTTTTTACTTTCTTTTGTAGTACGTCGTTCTGACAGGACTCATAGCTTGAACTTTGTAGGAACCCGGGATTCCACGATTGAGTAACGAGTTAAACATAAGGTTCAGCATCGGGTTCCCTGCTGGGTTTCTTGCCTGGGGGCTTTGTGTCAGCGCTGCCTGCGTCGCTTGAGCTGCCTGTGCTGCCTGTGCTGCCTGTGCTGCCTGTGCTGCCTGTGCTGCCTGTGCTGCCTGTGCTGCCTGTGCTGCCTGTGCTGCTTGAGCTGCTTGAGCTGCTTGAGCTGCTCGAGCTGCTTGCACTGCTTGGGCCCTTTGCGCTGCTTGCGCTGCTTGAGCTGCTTGTATTGCGGCAAACGCTGGGTTTGCTCCGCCAATAGTTTGAACATTATAGCCAGGGATAGAGGGATTTGCGAGGTTATTAATGCCGAAAGGGTTAGCAAACGGATTAGCAAAAGGGTTAGCGAGAAAAGGATTAGCTAGCGGGTTGGCGAAGGGGTTTTGGGGAACACCAGGGGCTCCTGGGGTGGTTGGCGCGCCAGGTTGCGTCGCTCCCGGGGTCACTCCTGGGGTTGTGGGTATTCCAGGAACAGCAGACGTGGGTGTGGCTGGGCCAGAGGCTGTGGTAGACTCTGTCATAGTCGTGGGGGAGGTCGCGCCAATACCAGCAGTAGCCAGGGAAAGCGGGTTGACACCGATGGCCGGGAGGGCGCCTGTAGTGCTGAGGTAGGGGGACGTGGCGGCGGTGAAGGCAGTGAGTCCCGTGGTGGGGGAGGTGACACCAGAAGGGACTGATGACCCAATGGTGGTGGAGCCCTTGAGAGGGGAGACAATAGGGATGTGTCAGGGGAGAGTCTATGCTTTTTTAAATTCTAATTGTTTTTTTTTTTTGGGGGGGGGAGTTAGTGTTTTGGCGCTCATAACTGCTTAAAGTCATAATAATATATGAGAGCTTACAATGTAAGACGATCGTTTTAGGAAGAGAATTTAAGTGATGTGTATCGGGGAGTTCAGGGACTAGGAACAACCTTAACTTTAAAAATACATAATTTCAGACGAGGAATATAAAATATTTATAAAGAGTACACTTGAACGAGGAAGGAGAACTGACGTACATTTTAGGTCAATTATACCCATGTCAGGAGCGGAGAGAAAATATAAACATACATTTTCGCAAAGTATGCTTTTGTTTGGCAGGAGAACCATAGTGAGAACTAAACTGAAAAATAACTAAGTTTTTGAAGAAATTATGTATAGAGCACCATGCGCAGAACATTTTTAAATGGAAGTGATCTAGGAGACAGCTGCACCTAAAAATAAACATATCCTAACGGAAAAAGTGTGTGGAACACTGTTACCAAAATGTAAAATACTGTAGGTGATTTTATAGTGGCCCTATAGATACAATTTAGATCAATTAGGAGGCATACTTCCGACTGTACCTGTTAGAGCTCACTCGTGATGATATGGATTCAACATCCCAGCAGGAAGTCCAAGAAACTCCAAATAAATTTCTCCTAATTCAGGATTCGAACTCGGGTCCTCTACTTGCGACAGCAAAGCGCCTAATAGCTACACCACATACAGCGTTTACCTTTCCCAGACATACGTTAAATTATAGAAGGGAGAATAATCCAGGTAACACCTTGCGCAAAATATAATATTGTTAATAATTTCTTACAAATGGAGGATAAATGATTTATATCTTATCTGCACAAACAAATTCAAAATGTTATTCTGTTCATCGAAAGGTTCAGTTTGCTACAGTTTTAGAAAAGCGTTACGGAAGATAGAGTCTAATGCAAACTACAGAAATTGTAAACATAACGCAAACAAACAATACCCTAATAAAAGTGTGTAACCAAGCCAGTTTAGGTTTTACGACAGGGTATACTTACCAAGGTGGCTGTACGTTGTCGAGCGTGGAGAGAAAAAAGAGAAAACATTGTTTTTATTGTTGCTTAAGAGATATGTTTTACAATGAGGTAATGTACTTTCGAAGCATACAGTATCACTCAAGCAAAGTAAATTATTAATGTAAATTTATATTAACTCAGTTGGTGGTCAACACACTGCAGTACTATTTCCAAGTAAACATTTCATTGGCCGCTTATCTAAGAAAGACATTGCTCAACATTCTTTGTGGATGTCGACCTTAGGGGAGCAGTAGGTCTTTAAATCATGGTTATATACACCAAAACAACGAGGAATGAAGTTGGAGTTTAAGCATCTAATATCTTTTCTCGAATGCCACTCCTCTACCCCTCCCCCCATCTTTTTTTTCGTCTACCTCCTCCCTTTATGTACACACAGACTCACACATACATATACACTTACCGTACACATGCATTCCCTTACTTGCTCACTCACTCAATCTCTCTCAACCTCCCTCATTTCTCTCTGTCCTCCACCTCTCTCTTTCTCTCCCCCCCCTCTCTCTCTCTCTCCCCCCTCTCTCTCTCTCTCTCTCTCTCTCTCTCTCTCTCTCTCTCTCTCTCTCTCTCTCTCTCTGCTCCCACCCCACCCCCCCTCTCTCACACTCTCTTGTCGGTATTGCATCAAGTTACAATAACGCTGATATAGATCTAGTGTAGTGACCCTTGAGGCGGATGGTTCAGCGAACACAATCTATAATGTGATTAGTCCTTTTTCTTTCATTAAAACAAAAATTTAGTTTGGGGGCGAGCGACGAATGTAAAATTTTTAAAAATGAATTCCTTAGTTGTCATTTAAATTCAAA